GGCACTTCCTCCAGCTTCCAGAATTGTCCCACCGCGGCGTCGATCGACTCAACCGTGGTGGCGAACGAGTGCAAGGATTGCACTTGTAACGACGGCAAGACCGCGCCCATTAAAACCCAGCGGAATCCTGTGTTAAACGCGTCCGGTTTTCCACCTTTGCCGGCACACCGACTGTCGCGTAGCACGGACACAAAGGATTCCGCCCCCAATAGGATGTCGATCGAGCCGGGCAAATAATATTCCGGATCTGCTAGTTGCAGCCCCCGTAAGTGACTCCATGGTTTTACGGCAACACGTTCGTTTGGCAGCGGCGAGGTGATGCGAGGAAGCACCGTGGCTTCGACCGGGAGGCGAATATTGCCGCGATTTCGCGCCCGGATTACGAAGGACGTAAGGCCCCGCGTTGTGGCGGCCTTTGACTCACTGACGCCTAACACTGTCACGCGATGTTTCGTCCGGGCAAAACCGCCCCGCTGCAGGCAACTCTCCGTGACGAAGTTGGCCTGACTCGCGCTATTCAGTAATATTCGAACCGAAAACGGGTTGCCATGCACGTCGATGGCCTCTGCTCTTACGGTCGACAACAAGACCACGCCATTGGCAACGCTGGCCATCGAAATGATCGCTTTGTCTTCTGATTTCGCGGGGGTCGCGGCGTCCTGAGCAGGAGGAACCGGGGGGGCGTTGCTCTGCTCGAAATGCAGGAGCGAGTGGTGCTTGGCATGACATGTCCGGCATGTCCATGCCGACGAACAATTTTTCGACTGATGTCCTGTGCGGAGACAATTCAAACATGCCCCCCGCCCACAAACGAAGTTGTACCTCTCCTTGACCGAGAGCTTTAGAAATTCTGTACATTTCGCCAGGGAATGCTGCGCCTTGCACTCGAGACACGCGGTGTTCTGAGCGACTAGCGAGGTCATCGACGCGGTCTTTTTCGATAGGTTCGACTTATTTGACGAGTCGGCTACCGACGCGAGAACGGTGCAGTACCCCGACAGATACGTCTTTAATTGCTCGTACCGCGGCGATTCCACGGTCATGTGAGATGCCTCGAATTTCTCTTTTAGAGAGGGAGTTAACTTTTCCATCAAATGATTAAAGAGCATGAAGTCCCAGGACTCTACCGGGTAGTCCATCATCTTCAACGCGCGCGTGTTTTCATTAAAGGCGTCTAGCAAGGCGCGAAGAGATTCGGCGGAATCCGAATTCAAGGGCTTGGCGTGCACGAAGGAGCGCCAGTATTGCGTCGCTAACTTTCTTTTATTTTGATATTGCGATAGCAGCGACTCATATGCATAATTTTCCGAGGTCATGGGCAAGTTTTTCACGACGCCGAGAGCTTCCCCCGATAATGATGCCAACAAGTACTGATATTTCTCGATATCGGACCCGCCACGATTTTCGCGAATCGCCGTATTGTACAACGCGATAAATGACGGCCATTGGTCAAAATCACCCGTAAATTGTGGGAGGGCGATCTTCGGTAGTCTAATCTCGGAGCGGGGCGCGGGCGGTGCACCCTGTGCGGCCGCATCGGTCCCCCGCGCGGGCCTGAAGCTCTCGTACCGCCCTATCACGGCAAAACGCATTTTGTCAAAGTCGTCCCGTATCTCGTCTTCGACGGCAAATTCTTCATCCGTAGCGTCTTGTATTACTTGGAGGTGAGCCTCCTCGAAATCCTGGACTAATTGGGCTACCGTAGGGAAACAAACGATAAAGTTTGGTCTCATAGCCTCATTGTCTACCGCGAGCATCAAATATTGATGTATTTCTCTCATGCGTCGAACGCACAGTTCGCGTCGTGTTTTGCAGCCCTTATTCATTTGAAGCCGAAGTATGATATTTACCGAGATAGCTAACGACAATATACCACGTCGACGAAGGTCAGGAGATGGCAGCCAGTAATAACACGTACGAAATATGTCTCGCAGCGGAATGCGGAGACCAAAACAACGAAACAATAAGAGCACCGCGCCGCTCGCCAAGGTCGAGGGAGGCGGGCGACTCAAGTTCGAACAAGTGATCGATGGCGATGGAATATACTCGAATATTCGATAGCCTTTCGCAAAATCCGAATTTTACGATAAAACCTGCAACGATATTGCAAAATTTCGGAGTAATGGCGCGCGCGCAACGAAAACTACGATTATCCGCGGATATCTTCGTCGCGACGCGCCGAATGCGACAAACGGACGAGAGATCCCGCGTGGAAACGTGCACGCGCCGATTACTCCAATTTAACAATGCGTGCCGCAACGATTATGCAGCGATCGGCGAGATAGATCGATATGCTGGCGCGGCGCAAGCGAAACGACGATTGCGGATATCTTCGTCGCGACGTGCCGAATGCGACGAAGGACGAGAGAGATCACGCGAGGTGAACGTGCACGCGCCGATCACACAATACGATAGCGAAATTGGCCGAATAATGGCACGCGAGCGAAGTGCACGCGCCGATTAATCGATACAACGAAACAATTATAATGGTAGACGATGTTAAGCGAATCGCGCGAAAGGACGGCGGAGGTTTTTAACGCGAAAGTATCCGGCTCGAAGGACCAATGCTCGGGGGGGTATTTGTCGCTCCCCGGATTCGCGATTGGCCTGTACCCGGGTGGTTCGAAGGACCAGAGGAACCGTTTCCTCACGAATGCAAGCGAAATGAAATGCGAGTAAAGCAGGATAAATCAAGCGAAGCGACTCACCGTATCGCAGCCCGGCGCCCTCCTGGGGTCTCTCGGCCGATCTCGTTTGTCCTCTCGGGTGGCGAATCCTCCTTGATAGCAAGCGGGAGGCGTGCAGGCAGACAAGGTAGCGGGCAAGCAAGCAAGCGAGCAGCAAGCAACACAAGACGGGCAAGCAGGCAAGCGCCGTTCTAACGACTTCGTCGAGCACTCGACGGTGGCTGATACTCAGTGTTATCTTGTCGGCGATTCTTACGGGAGTGCTCCGGCACTCTCTCGGCTCGCGCTCCTGGAAGTACGGCGCGAACGAGTACTATTGTCCCAATAATTGGGCCTGCCACCCGTGGGCGGGCAGCACGAGTCGGGTGAGTCGCGCGAGTATTGACACCTGTCGCGGTCCGCCAACGTTTCGCGCGAGTCTCAAACCGACGGTAACTTTACGATTATGAGCTTACTGACTAATATACAACGAATATACGCGAATCAACAATATCAATATTATACATGTGCGACTAACTACTATCTTACAATTATGTACACGTGAGCGCCAAACACAGCATATTTAAACCCACTTAAACTACAAAAATAATTTTGGCCGCCTAAATCGGCCAAATACCCCACTGTGCGTCATGCAGTTTCTGGTGGACTGACACTTTGCCACCGGGTGGTTGCCGAGACAATTAAAGCACAGCTTGTTGGTCTCGACCACTGACAGTCGTTCACTGGCCGACTTGGCCTTGAATTCGGGACACCCCATCATGAGTGAATGCTTCCATGTGCAGAGTGGACACTGTGACGGCTCTGGGCGGTTCGCGATGTACGTTTTCGCGAAACGAGATCGCTCACTTGAATTTGTGACAATGTTCTTCGAATTCGCGGCGTTCAGGGTGAGAATGCGTTTCGTGATGAAGTTCATCAGAGTGTCGTGACTCGGCGGTTCGAAGCAGTCTCCCGAGGAGAATTCCTACTCTAGACGCGTTCGCGAGTCGAACAGTTCAACGACGAGGTGGTTGAACAGATCTATGCCGTGCGAGTCGATGGGTCTTCCTATGCTCTTCTGAGCGTTGACTGCGGATGTGACAGTGTTATGGACGCGGCTGAGCTCATCGGCGGTAGCGGCTTTCATCTTCGCCACGGCGGTAAACGTGGCGAAGTTGGAGCGTATCAGCTTTCTCTTGTTTTCGTAGTGTTTGCAGAGGATCGCCCACGCGCGATGGTAATTTTCGTCCGTAATTGTTAATGACCGTATCAATCTTTCAGCTAACCCTTGGAGGCACGACCGAAGATAATGCAGCCGTTTGACTTGCGAGATGGACAAATTATCACCGATAACTAACCGAAAGAGATCACGGAAGGACGGCCAGTCTTCATAGGTACCCGAAAATTGCGGCAATATGATACGGGGCAGCGAGGTTCTTGACGCGCATTCGCCCCCCTTCTCTGACGCCGTAAAGGACGTGGAAGCCGACGCGGTCTTGAAATGATTCGCCTGTTCGGACAGGGCGCTACGCTGAAGCACGTAAGCATTCTCGGCGTTGTCGAGTAATTCAGATTTAGCGTACTCACTTTCAGCGTAGCGGTCCTTGTAGCAGGCTCGAATCATATCATGCTGACTTTTGAACTTTGCCCATAGGTCGTTGAGAAGGCGAATGCGTGTCTCGATGGCGGAGAGGGAGATGTTCGCCTGACCCAGCTTTTTTCAGGTTGTCGACGGCTCTGGAGATGCGTCCGAAGATTTCTAGTTGGCTATTCAGCATGGCGCTCTAGTCAAGACTCATATTGTCTTCGTTTTTCAGGCATTCCCGATCGCGGTTGCCGGCGATGACCCGGCTCAAAGGACCAGAATGTTCGACAGCACGCGGTAGCGCGGTGAAGCGCAAGGTAACGAAACAACCATAAAAAAACAGCAAGTATGAAATTAGACGGAAATAAAGAAAAATATATTTAGAAAACGTATTTACAATTATTTACAGAAGCTGAAGTGCCGTGAGCGCGCACAGAGGCGAAAAGCGGCTAAGTTCGTAGCACGGGCTGATTGAAATCAGCAGCGGATCGCGAGGTTTCTTTAAGCGATTTGCGCGAGCGGTGTGTCTAAGCGGTGATGCAAGTAAACTGAGCGGGTGACCCTCGAGAAGGGAGCCACCTCGACACTGGGGCGAACCATTATTACCTTCGAGCCAAGGCTCTCTTCGGGCTAATCACCAATAATGTTATCGCATTTGAAAAACATAGAGGTTGTTAAAGGACTTAGGTGCGTGATTGGTAGCCACAGGCCGCTCGCGGAAACGTACGCGCCTGGCATGCGCGGAGCTCGGATATCGGGAGGGTGATTGGCCATCGGCGGCCCACGTCATCGCACCTGTCACCTTGTTGTTCGGCGATCCGAAGAGATCGGTGCTTGTTTTCGCTTGCAATGTTTATAGCATAGATTTTTCCTTGGTGTAAGCGCGGTTGCTTGACTTTGTTTTTGACGAGCGAAAGTCAGCGAACTTTCCAGAATGCGAGTAATAGAAAATCCCATGCTATAACTTACGAATCATGCGATTTATTTCAGGCGATAATTTATTGTATTGACCGCGTGCAGGCATGCAACCGAGCGCGATTATCGGCGTTACATATCATAATCTCAAACACTGAGGAATTTAAAAAGGTTGTTAAAGACCAAAATGTCAACTTGTTTTTTTACAGTTTGAACAAACTTAAGAAATTCATTAAAATACAGAAAATATTCTCTCAATTCAATCTAATAAAAATATCGTATATAAAATATCTTGCAAAAACTGTGACGCTTCATACGTGGGTCACGCGATGAGACAGCTTAAAACTAGAATTTCAGAACATCGCAATCACATTCATAAAAATACAACTACTTAATCTGTTATCACCGAATATATATTGAATTTTGATCACGATTTTGATTGAGAGAATGTCGAAATCTTAGATAACAAAAGATATTTATCCAGGAGATTAGTTTCTGAAATAACCCATATCAAGCTGCAAAAGAATGGTATTAATTCTCAAAAATGACACATATTTCTTGCATCACGCATATGTCACGGTTTTGAGTAAATTGTAATCCATGCTCATGAACGTTTGTCGTTGGCAAATTGTAATTTCACTATTGGTACATTAAATATTGTGACGTTGTCAAATTGTGCATTGCTATTACATCAAATAACTATTATTTTATTTTATTGGTTTTACTTACTATTTATATTCCTCGTCGGTGTTTTGACTTACGACATGCTTCTCCTTTGCAATATCTTCATATCATTGTTGTGTGACGTGTTGATGAGATCGTTAAGTCTTTTCGCAGATTATTTATTTTGTACACGGCTCTGTAGTCCACGTTTTTTCAGACCGATTGGTGAGTTCCCTGAGGTTTCTTTTTAATATCTCAACATTTATTTAATAAATTTACAGATATGGATCAATTGGTCTATGTTTCTGAGAGTTTGAATCAGTAAACTCACCATATGGTACGGAGAGCGTTTAACAAACTTTGGTAACTACCGCTGAAGATGGCTCAAAGCTGAGCTGAAACGTACGGATTAATGTATTAAGACGACTAATAAGTCAGTTTACTGATATTACGCACGACGATCTGCGTTTGACCTTGATAGCCTTGACTTTTCCTACTCTATTAAATATTAGAAAATTTGGCTTTTGGCCAGGTTTCTAGGATTTGGGACCACTGTGCGGCGTTCGGTCGGTGGGCCCGCGAGTTTCGAAGAGTGGTAATTCTTGTTCTAGGAAATCCCGTAACTGTTTTTCCTCGGACGGGGTACGCGGTGCAATTTCTTCGGTAACGGCAGTCCCGGGGGTTGTCTGCGGGGTGATCGGGCCGGAGAGTGCCGCTACCGCGAGTCCGAGTTTCGCCCAGAAGTCTACTCCGAGAAGTAGTGCACTTGCTAGGTTGGGTATGATTGCACAGTTATGCCAAATAGTTCGTTGCGTAATCTAAGTCGGTATACGGACGCGGCCAGGGAGGGTGATGTGGTGGCCATTGGCCAGTTGCATCTTTTCGTCTGGTACGATCGCGAACCCCTGCTAATCGCGCGGTATTCTCGTTGATAAACGAAATTTTGAACCCGGCGTCTAATTAGCGCGGAGAGCGGCTTCTCTTTTATCTGGATGTCTAGGTGCGGCCGGGGGAAAAATTTTACGGCAAGGACCGAGAGGCGGCCAAAGTTTCTGCGGTCTCGACATCGTTTCCCGGCGGCGGGTGGTAGTCTTTAGTGAGGATTCCATCTTTGCCGCACTGAGAGAAAAATTTCTGGGTGGGGCGACGGCAATCGAAACACATATGTCCCCGCTGCTTGCACCTCCAGCAGCATTTGCGTCGGTTGGCGGCGATGATCGGTGCCTCGGCGATGTTAGTTTTCGTGGAGGCGCATTTTTTCTTATTCTGCTGCAGTCTTTCGTACTCGCTAGCCCGCTGCTGAAAGTCGCGGGGGCTACTGACGTCGCCTCGCCAGATGC